TATAAATTAAAAAAAAGACAACGTGCAAAAATTTGTAATAGAGGGCAGTATGTGCACTCTACTATTTTGAGTAAAGTGCAAAATAGAGTGCAAATAAAAAACAGTGAGTGAATCGTTCACTTTGATTTTGCTTGGTGCACTCATCATTCGGAATACTGCGAGCGACATTACTTCTTTTTATCGAATCTCATCGTACGTATCTCCTATTCAGCGTTTCTAATAGAAATTTGAAATAGAATGTTTTTGTACACCTTGTTTATGTGAGCAAAGTGTATCTTCATCCTTTGATTTTATAAACAAAGTGTATCAAAGTGTAAATAAATGAAAGAGTTCAAATAATGTGGAAAAAGAATAAAAAAAGGTATTTTTTATCTGTTTCATAGGGAAAAAAAGTGACACAGATGATAAACAACGAAATAAGAGCTATACACGCACATACTTTTTTCATCTGACACCAAGCTATAAAAAAGAGAGTACAAAAAAAAAGAAAGAGTTACTGTACTATGTACAAAAATAGAATAATCTATCCTTTAAGTAAAAAGGAAGAAAAAAGAAAGTGACATAGATGATAAACAACGAAATAAGAGCTTTACACGTACATAGTTTTTTCATCTGACACAATAAGAAAAAAAAGAGAGTACAAAGAACAAAATTACTGTACTATATAGATTAATAGAATAATCTATCATTTACTTTTTGTTTTTAAAAAAACGTTACTCACAATCAATCATGTTCTTCATCACTGTGCATTTCGACATGGTCAGTGCAAAACCAAATGGACTGTATTGTTACACCTTTTTTAATACGACAACCATTGCAAAGCCAACGCGAGCAGTTATCTTCGGCTTCAAGCCAATCAAACTGGTCGTTTTGGTGACAGCATTGGATTGCTTCGCGTTGTGCTGGATCAATGTCGGATACGTCTGTTCTGCATCCATTTGCACCTAGAAGAAAAATGATTCAGCCACATTTAAAGATAATAAGAATGACAACTCACACTTAATTGCTTTAGATTTAGGTTTTTTTGATTTCTTGTTGACCGAATCCAATGATAATGCCAATGGTATTGACGATCGTTTTCTTTTAGTAGCCGAGTGGATTCTTTTAATTGGTTCAAAGTCATCGGGTACATCTAACAATAGTTTAACTTGATGCATACGACGATTACTAGCTCTGTCATTCCATGATTCAAATGATCGGTTGACGACTTGTTGTCATCTTACGCTAAAGAAAAATAGTTAGATGATTTTATAAAACATAGACGAAAAGAATGTCTCTATCTCACCTTCTTAGATCATCTGTTAGTAAGAGTCGGACGTTCATTAATACTTCCAAAGTCGAAATCATCAGGTGGGATCTTCCCGATGTTTGTATGCGATTTGCTGCCGAGAACTAAAAGTACAAAAATACAACGTAATACAAGATGTCTAAAGACAGGATTTACCACATACCCCTCTTTCACACTCCGCTGAATTTGTCTGAGAAATTAGATGAATACTAAGTAACAGCAATATATTTTTATTTTGATCATCAAATCGACTATTAAGAGACTGCTTCAACGATATGAAGTCTTTCCAAAGTGTTTGTCCAGAATGAGTTGTCGCAGACATATTTAAATAATCACTCAGTGACTGTTTGAGCGACTCCCATTCACTTCAAACAGCATTTGAATTGAATCTATTGAGATTTTTATATTTTTGTCGTAGAAAGTCGAGTTCTGATCGTCCGTAATCCAACGAAGCTACTTTTTTTTTTATTTTTGATCAGATATTGAGGATCAAATAATACTGATAGATTTTCTTGTACTTTTGAAGGACTAAATCGTCTGTCCAATTCTCGAAAGATACGTTCAATGTGTGCATAACAATCATTGAATAGTTTTTGACGATTATTCATATTTATTTTGAAACTACCGAGTGATCCTTTATCTGTTAACTGGACGTAATCCGACAGGGCTGGACCCATTGTTAATGTCGACTGAGATGCCCAACATTTTAATACATTTCGTTTTTCTTTTATCGTTTCCATTAATGTGAAATAAGACAAATGATCATATTGCATAAGTTTAGTAATAGGTCCTAAATTAAAAAGAAAAAAAGTGAATAAACTGAGATAAATGAAAAGACTTGAAAAATAAATGAACTCACCGAGAATGATCTCATGCTAGTCATGATGGAAGTGTAATAAAAACAAAAAATTATCATTTAATATGAACGTTAGTAATTCTTTCGACGATTGAGGCTCAGCACTCGAAGAATTCAAATCAGATGATGCTTGTTGAAGACAAGCCAGCAATGCTTGATAACCTTAGAAAGAAAACTTTCTTTATTGAGTCCATCAAGAATTATTTTTATCTTTAGTTACCTGGCTGAATATTCTCCACTATCGGTTTGATGCAGCCACGTACGGAAGACCATCGAATATCGAAAATTCGTTTGAACTTCAATTCGGACATCTCCAAAACATTTCGCCATACTTTTAATTTTTGTTGACGTCTACTACTTCGACCAAAATAAGTGTAAATTTTACCAATCATTTCTTCAAGTTGAGCAATAGACTCACCAATAATAGGTTTATTATCTATATATATAAAGAAGAAAGTTTGTTTGTTTGTATGTTTGTTCTCTATGCATTCAGTCCCTGTAAGAGCTAAAGCAGCCAAAATTTGCATGGCACACCCTTGGGTCCAGGGGAAGGTCAAGACGGGGTCGGCGAGACCGAAGGAGGGGG